ACTGGGATACAGTTCCTGAACGAGCTGACTCTCACTGGGATATAGTTCCTGAAGGTGCTGACTCTCACTGGGATACAGTTCCTGAACGAGCTGACTCTCACTGGGATACAGTTCCTGAAGGGATTGACTCTCACTGGGATACAGTTCCTGAAGGTGCCGACTCTCACTGGGATACAGTTCCTGAAGGGGCTGATTCTCACTGGGATACAGTTCCTGATTGTGCTGACTCTCACTGGGATACAGTTCCTGAAGGACCTTACTCTCACCGGGAGACAGTTCCTGAAGGGGCTCGCTCTCACCTGGATACAGTTCCTGAAAGTGCTGACTCTCACTGGGATACAGTTCAAGAATGTGCTCTCTCTTATTGGGGGACAGTTTTATCTCATAAATTCAACCACAGAATGTTTACGACCCTGAAGGTGGCCATTTGGCCCATCCTACCTGTACTGGCTCTCCAAAACTGCAATTCCCTTGGTGTCATTCCCCTACACTTTCCCCAGAATGTCACACATTCTTCCTTTTCAGATAATCTAATTTCTTATTGTAAGTGTTGTATTGTAACTGCCTGCACTAAATCTCTGAGCTGTGAGTTCCAGATGGCAAGCATTCTCTCCCTGTGCCTGCAGTTGGCTTGTGCTGCAGCTTAATGCCAACAACGTGGGTTCAATTCCCGCACCAGCTGAGATTACCATAGCGTCATTCAGCCCGTATCCCTCTTTACTGTTCCTATCCATGTACCTGTCCATATGTCTTTTAAATGTTGCAGTTGTACCCACCTCTACCGCTTCCTCTGGCAGCTCGTTCCATATATTTCGCACCCTCTGCGTGAAAAAGTTGTCCGGCACGTCCCTTTTATATCTTTCCCCTCTCACCGTAAACCTATGCCCTCTAGATTTGGACTCCTCCACCCTGGGGAAAAGACTTTGGCAACTCACCCTATCTATGAAATAGTCTCCTTCTCAATCTCTCCCCTCACCTGAGATATGGTAGCCCTCAGGTTAAACTGCCACCAGTCGTCTTTCTCTTTATAATGAGAGAATAGCCCAGTCTGGTATCACAGTGGCAACTTTATTGGTTTTTGTCTTCCAAATGCTATAAATCTGTTTTTGATTGTGAATCTCTTCACCAATGAGAACTCTTTCTCCTTCTGCACTCAGTTTGAATATCCTTTATTGTCACATGCATTCAGTATTAACTACAGTGAAAAGTGTGTGCCATCGCTTGTACATAAGCACCATTCACAGAATAAAATAAACAAAAACATAACCTTAAAGAGAGTCCGACTTTACCTTCTCTGCTGCTACAGCATACCACTGCCAGGGTCCCTCACCGGACTACACCAGCCCACGCCATGCTGCAGAGAGAGGTGTCCCGCTCCGGGTTTTCCAGCCCACACCATACCGCTGTCAGTGTCCTATCCACGCGGAAGTGAGAATCCGGCTCCAGATTTCACAAGCTGACAAATTGTCCCTGCAGCCACACTGCTGCTGACCCAGAATCTCATAATTTTTTTACACCTTAATCAAATCTCCTCTCAGCCCGTTCTTCAAGGAAATCAGCCCCAACTTCTCCAATCTAATCGTATCACTGAAGCTCTTCATCGCTGCCACCATTCTTGTGAACTCTGCAACCTCTCTTTCTTTCTCAGTGCATTGAGTATAGGGGTTGGGAGGTCATGTTGCGGCTGTACAGGACATTGGTTAGGCCAGTTTTGGAATACTGCGTTCAGTTCTGGTCTCCCTGCTATAGGAACGACGTTGCGAAACTTGAAAGGGTTCAGAAACCCTTACAAGGGTTGGAGGGTTTGAGCTACAGGGAGAGGTTGAATAGGCTGGGGCTATTTTTCCTGGATCGTCGGTGGTTTAGGACTGACCTTATAGAAGTTTATAAAATCATGGGGGTCATGGATAGGGTGAATAGCCAAGGTCTATTCCCCAGGATAAGGGAATCCAAAGCTAGAGAGTGTAAGTTTAAGGTGAGAGGGGAAAGATTCAAAAGGGATCTGAGGGACAACTTTTTCGCACAGAGGGTGGTGCGTGTATGGAACGAGCTGCCAGAGGAAATGGTGGAGGCTGGTACAATTACAACATTTAAAAGGCATCTGGATGGGTATGTGAATAGGAAGAGTTTAGAGGGATATGGGCCAAATGCTGGCAAATGAGACTAGATTAATGTAGAATATCTGGTTGGCATGGACAAGTTGGACCAAGGAGTCTGTTTCCATGATGTACACCTCCATGACTCTATGATTCGCTAATGCCTTCACATCCTTCCCAAAGTGGAGCTTTGCCTGTATAGTACTCTTCTAAACTTCACTGAAGTTCCAGTTGTTGCATTTGAGCCTCGAAGGCAAGCGTCCATGGGATATTTGACAGTGTGGTGCATCACACACTCTCCCAAACTGCTCCTTACCCAAAATCTCATTGTAAATCTTCACAATTATCCTGAATTCAAACTCAGGAACTTGAGAAACTGCCCTGGTGCAGCTTTGCTGGAACATACAGACCTATAGACTGAGTACCACACTGGTCAGAATATTTACTCACTGGTTAACTGGCCAGAGACCATTAATGTCCCTGTTGTGTTTAATAGAATGGACTGGGAGCTGTACAGTTGAGTGGATCTGGCCCCTGTACATTCTGCCATTGTGACACGTTCCAGTTGATGTCACCTGTGGGCCATTCATCAAGACCCTGTCTCTCCCTGTGTCAGTGCTCTCACACTTTGGAGAGAACAGTGAGATGTTAGAATGAGCGACCCAGGGGGACACTCCCCCAATTTACTTTTGCCGAGTGAACATTGGGTGGAACGACCCCAAGAGTCTAATCGAAGAGGCAGAGAAGGGGATGAGTCAGGCATTGATCTGTCGAAGGAAACAAGAAGTCATGGAGCCCCTGAACCTCATT